TCTTAAAACGCAGATTAAGCCAGTTGGATTCCAACCTGTCACGAACTCAGAAACAGGTAAATACACTCATATCCCATACACAAGAAAAGCAACCTTTGTTATCATTCTCCTCGGACTCAGACAAAGATGAAATCATCAAAAGTGTTGGTAAGGATAAAACATGCATCCTAATGCATTTGCAAGCCTCAGACTCAGAAGAGGAGGGGGCGAGCAAGAATCACCATTTGGTAGTGTTAATATCACTTTCCAAAATAAACCAAAACAGGAGATGTTGCAATGTACTGTTACGCTAAATGTTACAATGTACTGTTACGCTAAACGTTGCAATGGTTAACCTTGTAAAAGTGATGGATGAACAATGGAATGTTGCCATGTGATACTGGAGAAATGAAAGTTATATGGAGAAACGAGAGTAATATGGGAGAAATGAAAGTTATGGAGATAAGAGTAACTGGGCGGGGCTAAGAAGTAGGAACATAAGATACCAGCTATGGCATAGGTTTGCATTAGCATAATTATGTAGAAAGCTTCTTTGTCCTGCTATGACGTATGCAAGTAGCCTATAAAAGGAGTACCCACCATTATTAAAGTGCCTTTTCATCCCGAGTAAACACTGTGTGCCGTGTGTTTATTTATTTATTTACCATGAGAGGCCCAGGGCTCTGAGTCCAGACCCTGTCGTCGCCAGGAGGCAGGCCGTGAAAAGCCCCAGTTTTACTGAGTGTAAGCTACAAAAATGTTTATCTCACATACTTTGCCTGCCTGCCTGACTGCTGTGCAGATTCTGCTAGGTTGTATCCCTAACAAAAAGAGAGAAAGGAAGCAAAAGGAAGGAAAGGGATAGACAAAGAAAGGGAGAGATGGAAGGAAGGGACAAAAAGAAAAAGAAAGGAAGAGATGGAGAATGGAGAAAGTGAATGAGATATATGAATGGATAGATAAATACATGGAAGGAGGGAGGGAGGGAAAGAGAAAAAAGGGAGAGGAAGGAAGGACACAAACCCGGGTTTCAGAAGACTCTTTGAAGCAGCAATCTAGGGCTGGCCTGCAAGGGTTAGAAGGCTCTGTGTGTGTGTGTGTGTGTGTGTGTGTGTGTGTGTGTGTGTGGTTGTCAAAACTCCAAAAACAGGTCAAGGAGCTCTGTGGAGATCAGTCATAAATTTGAACACTTGCTAAGCAACTGGCCATTAAGCGAGGACCACTTGTATTTGGTTTGCCAGTCACATGGCCGCCTGGTCCTGCCTACCCAGTCATATGGCCAACAAGACATGCCCATCTGGTCACATGACCACCCAGCCACACCCACAAATTAAGCCACGCCCAGAGAACCAGTTGTTACAAAATTTGAATCCCACCCCTGGATGGAACTGAGAAAAGATTTCAGCATTAAGTGATAACCGGTCGGTTCCTTCTCATGACCCCATTAACATGCATTTCTCCCCTCTTCTTACACCCATAATTTGAAGGTGTGATATCAGAACAATCTTGATAATTTCAGGTGAACTGAAAGCCTTGGAGCTGCTTCCTAGGAGCAGAAGGCCCATTGCTCCATCCCAGGGAGGGTGAAAGGGAGGCATGGAGAGCTCTGGCCAGGTCGGGCCTCCTTAAGAGCCTCCCAGATGGCACTGAAAGAAGTGACTTATGTCCGTTTTTCATACTTATGACCGTTGTAGCATCTCCACGGACATGTGATCGAAATCCAGATGCTTGGCAATTGGTTCATATTTATGATGGTTGCAGTGTCCTGGGGTGGTGGTCATGTGACCCCCTTTTGTGACCTTCTGACAAAGAATGGGGAAGTCAGATTCACTTAGCAAAGGTGCTACTAACAAAAGCAGTGATTCACTTAATAATAATGGCCAAGAAAGGTCATAAAATGGGACAAAATTCCCTTAACAAATGCCTCACTTTGCAACATAAAATATGGGTTCAATTGGGGTCATACTCAAGTAGGCAGAGATTTCATATTTACCTCAGCGAAGACCAGAGGCTACTTGGCTCCAGTTCCCATGGATTCCTAGCTCTAACCCATTTTCTTTGGCCTTCCTTCTTTTTCTGCTCAGTCTCGACCTCAGTCCAGATGTGTGGAAAGTTGTCCTCCTGGTTTGTCAAGAGGGCTCAGGAAGGAGAGCCAGTTTGCTGCTATGACTGTGTTCCTTGTCCGGAGGGGACCTTTTCCACTCAGGAAGTTGGGTGACACCAGAGGAAAATGGGAGATCTTGCGGGACTGGATCCACCCAGAATATTTTGATGAAAGTACCTGTTAAAAGACACATGGAAGGTTATTTTCTCATCTAAAGAGAATAATCCAAAGATCTTGAAGGAAAAATGGCAGATTTACTTTTGATAAGGAAAATTATTCTTCTGCTTGCTAGTTTGGATGTGTCCTTCCTTGGTTATCTCTCTACCTGTAGGAACATCCCCGTTCTTTGAAACATTAGGAATTTTTTAGGTCTATTGTTTTTCTTCATCTGAAACAGATGTTGGCCCCAAAAGTGCTGCAAAATAAGCTACATCAAGCAATCAGTTCCATTAAGGTCATCAAACACCATAAGCAGAAAGGCCTTCTTGAAGAATCACAGAGGGAAAGTTTTGGGCTCAACAGAGCAAAGAGAAACAAAAGGAAACCAAATTCTTACCATAAAATCAAGGTATCGTGAGAGGAGACTGGTAAATTAAATATACAGTTATTGGGGGTAAAATGTGTTTATTTTTCTCCAATGCTGTAACGGTCCATTTTATGGACTGAAAGGTAAAACACTCATATTGTAATGATCCAGGGTCGGATAAAAAATAAACAAAGTCACAAAAACAGGTGGAGGCCCTTTTATTCTTTCAACTTGGCTTCAAAGCTCCAAATATCCTTGACTGGAGACAAAAAACTCCCCCACAAACAGTTATGAAAAGGAGGAAATGTTGTTTAAACTAAAAAAATGCCTATAAATTATAAATAGCAAAAACAACACAAACCACACTGAGGCAATTAAAGGAAGCAGGCAAGATAAGGGCTTGAAGACATCTACAGAGATGAGAACACACACTGGGAAGGACACCAAACTCAGATAGGAACAGACAGACTAGAGATATTTTCACGCTTTGTTTCCAGCACTGGCCCATACGCATGTCCGTCCTTTTAACCAGTTCTCACAGTGCAGCCTATGAAGGGGATCAAGGCCCTTTCCTCCCCTGCAGACCACGCCATTGATGTTTCTCCCTTATCCTCTCCTCCCTGCGTGCCCTAGGATGGAGAGGGGATGGGTCTGGGTCTTCCTCTGACTGCCCAGCCGGCCCCTGCCTTCCCCAGCCTCCAGAGCCACACTTCCACTTCCTGTCGGCTGTTCCTCCTCTCCCTCAGAGTCCATCTCCACCAGGGGCATGACACATATTCGCATCAAATTATTTGGCATCATCGGTCCTGGGCTTTCCATTTTTTGATATCTCTTTCCCTCTTTGTTAAATAGTGAAATATGAACAACCACAACCCCAGTCAAAAACAAAGTTAGTTTAGGTTAAAAAATAACAACAAAAACATGTCCTAAATGCACTATTGTGATACAATTGCAAGAAACCTAACCAAAAAGATGTGAAATGGAGAAATAATGAAAATAACAAGATGTAAAATATTGAGTTAGTTCAGTGCTTGAACTTATCAATAAATCTATACAGCATGGAACCAAATTGCTTCATCTGCTCATTCTTAGAATAGAAAGAGTTTGCCAAAATAAAGTCTGATATTCTCATTTATTACCTAAAAAATTAATCTTCCTTAAATTAGGATCCGAATTTTTTTTCAATGTACACAAGATTATACCTTTGCTGAGCCCCAAACTCAGGTGAAACAAAAGTCTTCATTAAATGACAGATTTTAGGAATATAATTTATCATCCCATTTACAATTAATGTAGAGTATGAAGAGAGTTGGTCCTAGAACGCTGCCTTGGGGGACACCACTACTGACAGGTACAGAATTTGAGAGGACGCTCCCAATTTTGACCATTCGTTGTCTGTTTGACAGGAATGCTTCTATCCAGTTATGCTGGTGGTGTCCAGAGATACCATAAGATTTTAGTTTTAGGAGTAGTTTGTCGTGTCCCACTGAATCAAAGGCTTTACAGAAGTCTATGTAGATTGCGGCTATTGCTTTGCCCTGATCGAGTTGTGTCGTCCATGTTTTTGCAGTGTAAGATATATATTTCATGGGTAGATTCTGCCGTAGGAAGAACTGCCTCACTGGATGACAAAGGGGGGGTGGACAGAGAGGTAGCGAGAGGGAAGCCTTTCCTGCTACTCCCAAGTCCATCATCCCTGCCCTTCCCACTCCCAGGCGCTCCTCTTTCCCGCCCTTTCTACCCTCCTGGCCCTATGCCCCAGGTCCACCAGGGGGTGCACTTAGCCAAGGGAAGGGAAATCCAGGTGCTTCCCCATTGGGCCACTGGAGGGCGAACGTCAGGGCTGCCAGTCTAGAGGCGGCAGCGAAGGAAGCGACATCACTTAAAGGCTTGCCTCTCTAGGACGCCGCACTCACTCTCTTCAACCCCTGGAGCTCGCGGGAGAGTCCGGCGGGGGGGGACATCCAGATGTGCCCCTGGTGAGGGAGGGGCTCTTCCTGAGTCCCATGCTCCCCAGCCATCCTCTCCATGAGAAGTTGGGGGGAGCTTGGGCCCTGCGCTGGGAGGAGCCAGTTGGGGAAGGGGGTGCAGGGGCTGAATCCCCCTTTCTGATCCTGGGTGTCGGTTTTTCTCTCCCTCCCAGATCCGGAACCTCGGAGCCCTCGGAAGCTTTTGCAAGCCAGGATTCCCTCGGCGAGGGAAGGAAGGAAGCAGAAGGACCGGCAGGGATCCGTCCTGCCGCCCCAGAAATGGTCCCATGAAGGAAGAGGCCCCTGGAAAGCCCCCCAGGGTCCCTGCAGCCCTTTGGAGATGCTCTGCTGGAGAGAAGAAGGATGGAGACCCTCCCCCCTTTGTCCAAGGAGGGGAACAGAAAAGACCGCACAACTCTTCAGCCTGGGAGCTGTGGGGAGAGCTGGACCAGAACCAGGCAGAAGGTCCTGCAGGAGGGAACCCTCCTCCCTTCAGAACTTCCCCCCTGGACCGCCATCCAATGCCGGGAGGCTGAGGGTCCCCGGGGACTTTGCAGCCGACTGCATGACTTGTGCAGGTGATGGCTGAGCCCAGGAAAGCACAGCAAAGCCCAGATGCTGGACCTGGTGGTTCTGGAGCGGCTCCTGGCTCTCCTGCCCCCAGAGATGGAGGGCTGGGTGCGGGAGTGTGGAGCAGAGAGCAGCTCCCAGGCGGTGGCCCTGGCGGAAGGCTTCCTCCTGAGCCAGGCGGAGGAGCAGAAGGAGCAACTCCAGTGGCAGGTGGGAGACTTTAGGGAGCTCGGAAGGGAATAAATAGAGTGCTTGAATGCTTCACCCCTCCTTCCCAAACTTTTCCCATGTTCATAATATGTGGCAATTCTCCAGTTCTGGTAGGACATTGTTCCACTGTTTTCTCATTCAGCCGGAGTGAGAAACGGATGGATATTGGGGGCTTTGAAGTTGTGTTCCGAATAGAAGAATCCACTTTATGTCTTGTGACATATATTAATTCTGCTTCTTTTTTCCTTCCTCCTATTTGAAGTGCTGCAGTGTGGAGATCAGAGATCCTGAGGGAAGGAAGAACCCATCAAATCCCCCTCAGGAGCTATTTTTCAGGAGGATCCCTTGGGAAGATCCAAGTCAGGACCCCTCAGGAGGTAGTGGAAGATCCTCCGATTCCCCATCTGTCTTCCCTTCGCTCTCACTTCTCTCCTAGAGAATACCTCCTCCTATTTCGCTAATCATGCATTTTGAAATTATTTATTCCTTACAGAGAAACAAAGAATGAAGATTTCTGGTTTTTATGAGAGAGATCAAACCGCTTTTGAACCTCCAAATCAAGTAAGAAAGGGAAAAGAGATTCGATTTGTGGTCTCCCTTCAGGAAGTGAAGCCGGTGTGCAGAGGGCTCTCTCCTTCTGTTTTCCCCCTTGTTTGGCCTGGGTTCTTCCACAACATGGAGAGCAGAATAGCAGGTTCAAGTTGTCTTGTTCTGCTAGGTTCTCCTCCAACTTGTAGTTTAGAAGAAGCAATTTTTTAAAAGTCCTTCAAGAAATAGGAATAAATGTATCATTACAGTGGCAGGAATTGCTAGAGACCCCCCCTTTTTTGGTAATTCTTTGACTCGGAATGGTGCAAGGCTGATGAAAACAATAAATAAATACATTGCTACATTAGCCTTTTTTAAAAGCCTTATTTATAACCTGTAGTTCAAAAATAAGGAAATCATATTAAAAAATAAAGCAGACTATTAAAATCCAAACGTTGTGGCCATGTTGAGCATGTAATCATGGTACTTTGGGCTACAAAATAATTTCCAATCCTCTGATTGGCACCTCGATTAGGAGATTCTGTTGGGTTTTTTTTTTTTTTTGGTCAAATATGCTGGCTCACATTTAAGTGGTTGTCCCCTAGGACTCCAAGATCCCTGTTGCACTTACTGCTGTTCAGCCAGGTATTGCTATTCTATGCCAGTACATTTGGTTTTTGTTTCCTAAATGTAGAACCTTACATTTCTCACTGTTGATTTCCTTTTGTTAGATGGGGCCCAATCTGTCGATCCTTCTATATCTCGAGCTTATCCTCTGGAGTGTTGGTATTCCTGTCAGTCTGGTCTTGTGTGCAAATTTGATGAGTTCCCCTTCTATCCTCTTGTCTAAATCAATGATGAAGATGAACAGATCTTGCGAATCCTCCTATTCTGTTCTTTTTTTCCATGTCCAGGAGGGTCTTGTGTCCTTCGAGGAGGTGGCTGTGTATTTCTCTGAGGAGGAATGGTCTCAGCTGGATCCTGCCCAGAAAGCACTGCATTCGGAAGTCATGCTTGAAAACCATAGGAACGTGTTCTCTCTAGGTAAGAGTTTTCTAGTCTCCAATCAAGAAGAGAGATTATAATTAGTTTTTTATTTTAAAAAAACACTAATCAAATATTGTCTCCTGGGAGGGAGAAGGAAAGGATCAGGCCTTGTCGTGCTCCAAGGAAGGAAAGAGTCAATGTCTCTTTCCTTAGATGCTTTCTCTACCATTTCTTATCTGTGTTTTTTACCATTTTTATTTGAACTTATCTGTGGAGGCTGAAACGAATGAGTGTGCTTTTATGTGGAGGTCATGTGAGAGGAGTGTGTTGTCATTTCTTCTCTGAAACCTCTAAATTTTGTGAGAACAGAACTTTCACGCTCAGCCCATGGAAGAGCATTCTGTCAGCGTTCCAGGAAAACTCAACTCCATTCAAAAACTCCGAGACAGACAAGTTCTCAAAGTTCCTGTTATTAAGAGTAGTAAACTGGCACATCTGGGAAATCCCAAATCTGAAAATTCCAGGTTTCCCTCCAATAAGTAAAAAATTACAAAGCCACTCCCTGCTCACATCATTCCATCACATGCCCCAATCACCATCCGTCCCATTTTGAGATGTCCCCGCTACTCCTCCTCAACCAGGTGCAGGAACAACATGACCTTGACTGTAATGAAGAATGCTATTATGTCTAACCACATACACTCCATGAAATTCCCCCCTCCCATCTTCCCATGCTCAAGAATGTGGCAGCATGGAAGCTTCAGGGCTAATATGGCTTCCAAGGCTAACACATTCTCCCAATCTGATCCAAGAACAAAGGCCTCATGCAGTGTGACTCGGAGCATCCTAGACCAGGGGTTGCCAACCTTTTGGACCTCAGGGACCACCAAAGTCATAATTTTAAATCCCAGGGACCATTAACTGGTTCTGTGGGCGTGGCCTAATTTGTGGGTTTAGCTTGGTGGTCATGTGACTGGCTGGGCATGGCTTGTATGTAAATATTATAAGTATGTATATAAATATTGCACTTTTTATAAAAAAAAGAGCAACTTTTACCCAAAATCAGGCAAAGCAGTCAGGCAGATTGAGTTGCTCACAGAATCACAGATTCATTCAGAGATCTATCTATCTGCCATTGGCTAGATCAGTCTGTCACATAAAATTAGCTTGCAAGCAAACTCACAAAATTAACTCACAACACACCATATATGTAAATATTGATTATTTTTTATAAAAAAGAGCAACTTTTACCCCAAAGCAGGCAAGCAGATTGAGTTGCTCACAGAATCATTCAGTGATCTATCTATCTGCCATCGGCTAGCTCAGTCTGTCACATAAAATTTGCTTGCCGTGAGTCTGCACTGAATAATAGAACCTTCAATCCTAAGAGAGGTTCGGCTGTGCTTAAAAGCAGAGCCGAAGATCTAAATACTAGCTAGAAAGTAAGAAATCCAACCATTTCCTGCATCCTAGCTAATCTAAATCTCCTGGCATAGCAGAACAGTTGATGGTCTGAAAAATAGCAATTTAGCAGGCAAGTTTGCCGGGTAAGGAGTGAGTGGGCAGGGAGAGTTCCCGTGGGCCATGTGGGCGGTGCAACCTTGTGTTTCTGTGCAGCCTGGATTAATTGCTTTGGGGGGGGGGTGTTCTGGGGCTGACATTTCTCTGCAGCCCACCAAAATTTTCTCACGGCCCACCAGTTGGCAACCCCTGTCCTAGGGTACAGGTAATCCCTGAGTTATGACAGTTCATTAGCGACCATTCCATATTACGACCAGCCCTCCCCCAAGTACTTGAGACCTAGTCCCGAAATTATGAGTATTGCAGCACCACGGCCATCGTTCATACTTACAAATGACAGTAGAGGCTCTGCAACATTCACCTTACCTATCCTCCCACCCTATTCAGCTGGGACTTATTGTATTTTTCAGACTATAAAATGCACTCCCCCCCCTTCCCCCCTCCAAAAAAGTGGAACTACCTGTGCATCTTATAGAGGGAATATGGGCCTATTTTTGGCCTCCCAAACCCTCTGCTCATCCTATTTTCGCCATCCCTGGTATCCAGAAGCACTCAGCAGGCCAAAAATCGGCCTGCTGTTGGCCTGCCCGACATTGGGGAGGCTGAAAATGGGATATCAAAAATGGGGGGCTAAAAACTGGTCTGTCTTTGGCCTGCAGAGTGCATCTGGATGCTGGGGAGGAAAAAAACAGGATGTGCAGAGGGTTTGGAAGGCCAGAAATGAGCCTTCTGGTTTTTGTGCAGAGTGCACCTGGACACCTGGGAGGGCAAAAATGGGATGTGCGGAGGCCAAAACTATTTTTTTCCTTGTGTTCCTTCTCTATAATCCTAAAAATACGGTACCTTGTGATGATGTGGTGAGCCATCGGTTCCCTTGCCTGCTTTGGTGCATTTGCAGAAAAAAAGAGGCCTAAAGTAGTGAGAGATACGTGAGATCAGTAGTGGGAAATCTAGCACTATTGATCTCACATGATCTCGCACTACAGTGCTTTCGGCCTCTGTTCTCTGCTAACCAAGGCCTGCACCAGATCCAGGGCAAAACGCTTTGCGAAGAGAAGGAAGGCCTCTTTGTTTCCAAAGACTTTTGCCCTGGATCTCTTGCAGCCCTCAGTCCTTAAAAGAGCACAGACCTAAAGTACTGTGGTGCAATATCACATGAGATATTAGCCTGAGATCTTGCTCGTGTGATCTCGCACTAAAGTACTTTAGGTCTCAGTTCTCTGCGATTCTTGAAGCCTTCTAACATTTCCAATCTCAACACAAAGTTTTTATAAGGCAATGGCAGGTGTTGAGGCAATGGGAGGCTTCTAGCATGGGATTTATCTCCAAAATATGATTGCTGGGATCAAGGAACAGGCCGAGTGGGGGTCCCACCCACCAGATAGACGCCGTGGAGCAGCTGCTCCAAGGTACGCTGGGGACGAAGGAGCTTTTTTCAAAATTGTTTCATTTCTCACAAGTCTCTGTGGAAATTAAGCTACCTCAATAAATCTTAAGTTTTCTCCTAATTTCTCCTTGGATGTTTCCCTTGATTATTCCTTAACTCGAAACTGACTCTGAGTGAGATTTGCATATATATAGATAATTGTAAAGAAAGGTATGTCTAGATATTTTCAAAGCTTTCATGACTCATGAATATAAAAACCATCATGTCTATATCACACCACTGTAGGCATGCAAACGTACAACCTCATGGAATTTCAGAGAAATTCAGAAGGAAATTCACTTGACTTTCTACACTTTGATCTTTTTCTCTAACCTTGTTATGATACATACAGAATAACCCTTGAGTAACAAGGATATGCACATGGAAACGTTTATGAGAGTAGTTATGAATAATTATTCAGCCACATACAGCTGCACTAAATTGAGTTAAAGTTTACTCTAAGAAATAGCACAGTCCAATAAACAGTCCAGATCATATACGTTTTACAGTCCAAAGAATATCCAATTACAAAGTCTTCTTACCAGGTGCCTTTGTCATTTACAGTAAAAGATATCAAAGTATAAGCACAGCAGAAAAACTTTAGATAGCAACAGAATGTCAGAGATACAGAATGTCAGAAATAAAGAACGTCAGAGAGAGCAAGCTATGATCTCTAGCTCCCTCTTATGGCAATTCACAATACAATCAACCAATCGGAACATAGTACAATCAATGCAGTGTCTTTGTCTTAAAGCTACAAACATACATTGTTGGTTTATATATTGCTAACCCAAGTAATTGGTGTACAGATTCCTAACAGTTATCATTTTCATTTCCTTTTTGCTTTGAAGGTAATAATGGGCAAGAGAATCAAGATTCTTGTGAACTGTTCCAAGTGATCAATGCTAAGGACGGAACGGAGAAGTTTGAAATTCGAATGGAATTCGAAAACCATGATAGAAACCAGTCAAAGAATTTCAACCAGGAAAGCTCATCTTCCACTGATGCTCCGATGCAAGACTTTCTTGCCCAACAAGAGGAAATAAGGAAAAAATATACTGGAAAATGTGGGAAGCTAATCAAAGCTAAAGTACAAGTAAATGAACACTATTTAACCCAAAACAAAGGAGAAGATGCTATAAGAAGACACAGTGGACAAAATTACAATGGGACATTCATTCTTTCTCTTGGAAATAAGTTCCTTACATCTCAAAAAGCGATTGACACAGAAGAGAAGCCGTATAAATGCATGGAGTGTGGAAAGACCTTTGCTCATAGAAGAGCACTTCCTGTCCATAATAGGACCCACACAGGGGAGAAACTATATAAATGCATGGAGTGTGGAAAGACCTTTGCTGAAAGAAGTACTCTTATTTCCCATGAAAGGATCCACACAGGGGAGAAGCCGTATAAATGCATGGAGTGTGGAAAGACCTTTGCTCAAAGAGGTAATCTTATTCCCATAAGATGATCCACACAGGAGAGAAACTATATGAATGCATGGAGTGTGGAAAGACTTTTGCTCAGAGCAGTGGCCTTAGAAGCCACAAAAGGATCCACACAGGAGAGAAACCATTTAAATGCATGGAGTGTGGAAAGACCTTTGCTCAAAAATGTAATTTTATTTCCCATGAAAGGATCCACACAGGGGAAAAGCCATATAAATGCATGGAGTGTGGAAAGACCTTTGCTGAAGGAGGTCATCTTATTTCCCATGAAAGGATCCACACAGGGAAGAAACCATTTAAATGCACGGAGTGTGGAAAGACCTTTGCTCAAAGAAGTAATCTTATTTCCCATAAGAGGATCCATACAGGAGACAAGCCATTTAAATGCATAGAATGTGGAAAGACCTTTGCTCATAGATACAAACTTATTTCCCATAAAATGATACACACAAAAGAAGCTGTGATGACCCGGGGCGGGCACAAAAGCAACAAAGTCACAAAAGTTGGTAATGTCCCTTTAATGTCTCCAATGTGACCCCCAATGTCCAGTTATCATCGGCTGGAGAAAAAACTCTCCCAAGAACAATTTTGAAAGGGAAGAAATTCAGTCTGAACCCAAAGTACATATAGATTATAAATAAAAACTAACACAAACCACAGCTGCAGCAATTAACGAGGCAGGCAGGATATGGAATTGCAGACTTCAAAAGATAACGAAACACACACAGTTGGGAGGACGCAGGAACTCAGATAAGACTTGACAAAACAAAGATAATGCATACTTTCCTTCCAGCAAGGTGCTGTGCGCAAACGTCCTTTTTAAATCCTGCTTTCCCAGCAGCGGCTAATGAAGGGAATCAGGGCCCTTTTCTCCCCTGTAACCGCCATAAATCACCTTGCTCCCTTCTCCGTTCCTTCCTGCGTGCCCTAGGATGAAGAGGGTGTGGGCCTGCTATGGCAGTGGATAGCTTTTTTAAGAAGTAGGCACATATTCCATCCAGTCCAATAGAGATGGTTTTAGATTTTGTAGTGCTTTTTCAACATTGTCTTCTTTAAAATCGATATGTATTAGATCATTGTAGTTGTCTGTGGTTCGACTAAGAAATACTGGGCATGATCCATTGCTGTTTACAAATACTGAGCCAAAGAATGTGTTAAAGTTGTTGGCTTTAATGGTGTCGTCATTGCAGTCTTTAGCATTTGGTTCTTTCAGGGGTGGGATGGACCTTGAGTCTTTTAGTTTGTTGTTTTTACAAAATTGTAGAAAGCGCGGGTGGAATTGGTGCACAGAAGGTTTTCCTCTTGTTTAATGTGATAATTGGTGCATCTGGTGGCATATTTTTTTTTAAAAAAAAACAATTTTATTGGTTTTTAAAGACAAACAAAACATAAAAACATCCAGCTTTCTTTCATAAATATACAAGCAGTGTGTCGGTTGATTTACCAATTTTTTGTGTATCCATTTCATAGAATCAATTACAGTTACATTACATAATAACTCATATTATCAATCAGAAATTAAATACCCTAGTATCACTATTGAACAATCGTTTGACTATAATTTTATTCATTCATGCTTTGTGAGATAACTATAATTTACTTAGTTTATTTTATAACAAATCATATAATCATACCAAATCTATCCTAAAAACATTTTATAGATATGATATATAAAAAAAGAAATATATCTTTATGTTATGTCTCCCCTTTAATTGCAGGAGGGCAAAATGAAACAGGCAGTTCACAAACCAAAAAGCAAACTTTCCCAAAAGGACTGTGGAAGGGTTTTCCGTCCTCAGCAATAAATCCAAACTCTGTCCAGCAAACTTGATGTAGCTATAAATCCCAAAGCCTCAAAGAGTTCTCTCCGTGTGTTCACTCCCATAAATCACTTTGCTTCTGGCAAAGCTCACCAGCCAAGCCGTTTCCTTATATCCACTATGAGGGCGTGTTAATCTCCTTAATTAGTCACTGGCTCGACACCTCCTTCCTAATTGAGATTGATGCCTCAACTTACGTCTGTTACGCACATCTAGCCAAGTTCTTTCCAAAGACTCCTCCCCACTAGAAAAGTCTCGCAAGTGTTCCTGGTTAGCTATTCCCGGCTGTTGCTCAGCCAGAGGAGAAGAATCAGAGGAGGTCGAAGGTCCTGACAGCTCTATTAAATCAGGTCTGTCCCTCCTAGTTACATCCATTTCCTCATCCTGACTACAATCCAAATCGCTCAACAGAGCTGGCTCATGATTTACTGCCATTTCCTCTTCGCTTGAGCTCACATCTGCCAACGGAACCGATTCCAACTCCGGAGTCACAACATCTTTATATATTCATTATTTTCTAGAATTCTAGATATTCTATTATTGTGTTTTATTATCTAACCATTGATAGAAAAGGTCCCAAATTTTATAAAATTGTTTATCCTCTTGTTCTCTAATTTCAAATGTCAATCTACTCATTTCAGCACATTCCAATATTTTCTTAATGATTTCTTCCTGCAACGGTATTTTCTCATTTTCCCAGTTTTTAGCAAATACAATCCTAGCCGCTGTTAATACATTTACAATCAGGTATTTCAAATCTTTACTATATGTATCAGGTCAAATTCCCAATAAAAAGCTCTCTGGTTTCAAGTCTATGTGTTTCTTTGTCATTTTTTCCAACCACATGCGAATTTTAGTCCAATATTTTCTAGCGTCCTCACAAGTCCACCACATATAGTAATATGAGACAGGTATCTGATGACATTTCCAGCATTTTTCAGATTTATTCTTGAACATTCTTTCTATTCTTGTCGGGGAAAAGTGCCACCTGTAAAACATCTTATACAAATTTTCTTTATATGCTGTTGACATTGTCATTTTATAATTTTGAGATCACAATTTTTGCCATTTCTCTAAATCCCAAATCCCATATCCAAAATTCTTCCCCGAAGCAATCATAGTTTCTTTAACTTGTTCTTCCTCTAGTTTAATTTCCAATAAATAACCATATAGTTTTTAAATCACCTTTTCATCAGTACCTGTCAAAATCTTATTTAAATCAGTCAATTTATCATAGAATCCTTCTGTTTTAAAATCTTCATCATACCTTGAATGTATTTGGGCATATGAAAACCAATTCATTTTTATACCTTGTTCCTCTAAATTTTGCATCGATTTAAGTTCACCCTTTTCACCCCATATCTAAATGTTTGTTCCTTCTTATATATTATAGTGTTGTGGCTCCGAGCTTGGATTCAGCTCCTGTGACTGATATGAGTTCAAGTGAGGAGGACATGGCAGAAAAATATGAGTGGCATGGCTCAGTGATTGGACTGGTAACCAGGATGAGGAGATGGATGTGACAAAGGACGACAGACCTGATGTATTAGAATTGTCAGGACCTTTGACCTCCTCTGGTTCCTTATCTGATCAACAGCCGGGAATGGCTGACAGGGAAGTTTTGAGAGAGTCTTCTAGTGGAGATGAGAACTTGGAAAATTTGTGGTTAAATGTAAGGAACAGAAGACGGTTGAGAAGGCAAAATCAGCTGGAGCGAATGAGGAGAGCGAGTCAGTAAATTAGCACGTTGCCTCAATGAATATAAAAGGACACAGCTGGGCTGGTACAATTTGCCAGGAACAAAGTGACTATTTGAGTGAGGACGTTACAGCAAGAAGCTCTGAGACTAGAGATTTATTGCCAGGACTGGTTTGCCGGACAGAGTAAAGATTTACGCTGTGGATTGAGATTCCTGCCAGCCGTTATCTTGTAAGACTTCTTTCTGTTTGATTTAATTTGAAACGGCTGCTTTCTGTTTTGTTCGTTGGAATTTTGAAGGGGAGTCATAACATTATAGGATAGGAAAAAGCTTCAATAGTCGATAACCAAACTGGGATTTTCAAATAACATTGTCTTTTAATCTTCTCCCAATTTAACCACAAAGACTCCCGTATATGATGTCTTCTAAAATAGCCCTGTGTTTTAGTTCCCTTATACCATAGAAAAGCATGCCACCCCAACAGCTAATCATGTCCTTCTAGTGTTAACAATCTGGTCTTTCTTAATGTTATCCATTCCTTAGCCCACATCAAATTTGCAGCTTGATAGTACAACTCCCAATTAGGCAGACCAAATCCTCTAATTCTAGCATCCTGTAAAAGTTTTAACTTTATTCTCGCGTTCTTGCCTTGCCATATATACTTCAAGACAATTTTATTTAAGTCTTCAAAATAGTCTTTTCCAAGCCTAATTGGTATTGTTCGAAACAAGTACAAAATTCTGGGTAGGATATTCATCTTGATTGTCGAGATTCTCCCTATTAATGACAATTGTAGGTTTTCCCATTTCATCAAGTCTAACGCTATCTGTTGTTTGAATTTAATGTAATTATTCTCTTTTAATGCACTACATCTTGGTGTCAAGTGTATCCCCAAATACTTAACCTTATTTGTGACTTGAATTTTCAATGGATCTGCCAGTTCTTCTGTTTGTCTTATTAACATATACTTTGTCAAAATCTTTGTTTCATCTTTGTTTATTTTCAAACCAGCCACCTCACCATGTCTCCATCTTTTCCAATAATTTTGGAGCTGTTTCTAAGGGGTCTTCCAGGATAATGGCCAAATCATCTGCAAAGGCTTGCAATTTAAATTCTTCCTTTCTGATTTTCATTCCTTTTATACCTTTATCATCTCTAACATTTCTATTCAACACTTCCAAAGAGATTACCAGTCAAGGGATGAGAGATCCTTGTCTATAAGATCATAGTTGCCTTTTTTGAAGTTATAATTGAGGATTAAGTTGTGATTATTTTTATATGGGCATATGTTGAGACAAAAGTCAATCATGCTGTGGTCACTGTTGGAAAAGGGTTCTTTAGTTTGTATTCTGTAAATTAAATTCAAACTATTGCACAAGATGAGATTGAGGCAGTTGTTAAGTCTAGTATTGTTGGTTACTAGTTGTTCCAGTCCCAGATTTGTAACAGCATTGTAGAAGGTTGCATGTATGGGTTCTGTAATAACAGAACCCATCTGGAATAACAAGGTTACCTAACGTAGTTTGGGTAAAATAATATATATAAACTATGATAGTAAGTTTAAGTGTGTGTCACTTTAAACTGCAAAGCGTGTAATTTTGGGTGCGGTGTGAAACCGCCATAAGAGGGAGCAAGAGAACCTGCTGAATCGCTGACGATTTGCTGACGATTGCTGGTTTGATGGATTGATGGTTTGCTAACTGCGTGTTTTCCCTACTGCTGAGTTGCTGAATGCTGAAGGAAGAAAGGAGGTTTGACTTCTTCATATCTCTACTGCGAGGAGATATATTACTGGACTGATATTTGTAAGTTTACTGACCTCTCTTTTTCAACACTGGACTTTCCAACTGAATAATCCCTGGACGGACTGAATTAGTGAATGATATATGGACTGTTTTGACTATGCTAAAACTCTTGCTGGAATAAACTATTTAACTAGCACTATCTGTTTTACTGAGTGTAAGCTACAAAAACGTTTATCTCACATATCTTGCCTGCCTGCCTGACTGCTGTGCAGATTCTGCTAGGGTGTATCCCTAACAGGTTCAG